CCGCTGAGTCCTGGTGTCCTGCAGTGGATTCCTACTGTCAATGCTGGTATCCGCTGACTCCTGGTTTCTTCAACGGCCTGGAGTCCTCCCCAGCATGAACCGCTCTGTCCTCCAAGGTGCTTCCCCCACCCTATTCCCACCTCTCTGTTCCCACCTCAAACCCCTGCCCCTTCTGGGCTTTGAGCAGAGGAAGCATCAGGACTGTCAGCTGGTTCGGAAGCCGGGCCTCTTATTCTTCTCCCAGTGGAGGAGTGGAACGTGGTAGTGTTGAACTCTGGCGCCCCAGCGCCCAGGCTGGAGGGTCTGGTTTGGAGGCTCCAACAGTCCCTTGTTTATGGAGCACTTGAGCCAACTTGGGGCCCAGTGTTCTTTTTCTGCCTGGCTCGCTAATGATGTGAGTCAGTTACTTCAGTGGATTGAATCCAAGTCATGAATAATCTCTGCTGGCATGATGCGTTTGGACTTCATTACGGAGAGAGGGGGGCAGCCCACATCTGTCCCTCACCCCGGCTGATGTTTACAGGGCACATACAGGGCACTGAGGATGAAGAGCCGCTGCCCCGAAGGCCAGAGTGAAGACGGTCAGGGAGCTGTGAAGACGGCTGCAGATCAGTGTTCTCGCTCTTAGACAAAGAGAACTCGGGTTCCATCTCAGAAGATGGATCCAGTCAGTGGTCACAGCTCCTCTAAGTACCCAGTTCTCGGTTCCAGGTGGCTGACTTACCCACAGCCCCGAACCAAACCCCATGAAGGCTGGTATAGTAGCATTTAAGGCACATGCAAATGGGGCACAATGACTAGTGAGTGCCACTGTGTTAAAGATGTTTTTCTGTATCGACTCTGGGCACCAGGCATTCCTGTTGTGTTTTTATTTATAGAAGGCTTTAAGATCACACAATCCCTCCTTGTCTGCAGGATGTAAGTTTCCCAACCACAGCGGATGTCCTGAAATGTGTATTTTTACCAAGTTTTTTCCCCTATATGTCATAAATTGAAATATCATAGCTATGTAATTAGGCACAGCAAGACAGTAACACAATAACTGATAAGAAACAAAACAAACCTCCACAAAACCCAGTTACTTGACTCCAAGCGTTGCGATACAGCCACGTTCAGTCTGATGACTGAGATGGCTCTTCATTGGCTAAAGGAGCCTGTAGCATATGCCGAGTGGGGGCACGAGACACGTGGATGACTCACGTCCTGGAGGATGCAAGATCATCGTCCTATTAAGAACAGCATGCACAGGAAAACTAAAGAATGCTTCATTGCTAGAGTTTCCCAGGTACTATTTTTTGTTGACTGAGGTGTAACGGAAAGCTACAGCTCAGCAAAGAAGATTAGAAGTGTATCTATATTTCCACATACTAATACTCTAATGCTGGGATAGAAGTGTATCTATACCTCTATATACTAATACTGTAGTGCTGGGATAGAAGTGTATCTATACCTCTATATACTAATACTCTAATGTTGGACAAGCGCATACTGTATCTCTACCTCCATATACTAAAGCTGGATGAGAGCATAGTGTATACTGTATCTATCCGACCACACACTAGTACACTAATACTATACTAAAGTGTACTGTATCTATGCCTCCAAATACCAGTGCTGGATGAGAGCCTACTGTATACCACCACACCCTAATACACAAAGGCTGTCCTAGAGTGTACTATATATACATCAGTATACACCAATACACTAATACTACACTGGAGTGTACTGTGTACTGAGAGATGACACTAGCTCCTAACGGTGCCCGCGTAAGTACAAAAGACTTTCATGTCTTTAGACAGATGGAGGATGGAGCCCCTGCATGTCCGGGATCCTACTGCCGTCACATTGGGTCTCACTCGAAAGGACCGTCCACACGTTTCTGAGACTGTGAATCTTTATGGAAAAAAGACTGCCCATCTCACTTCTGATGAGAAGTTGGTGGATTTGAACCACTGATTGTTAAGTGTGTGAGGAGTCCTGGTGGTGTAGTGTGTAATGTGTTGGACAGCTAGGGGGAAAATAGGTGTGTACCAGACTGAAGAAGGCTGAGGTGCAGTGTTTATATAACTTGCATATTGAATATACAATCTCCATATTGAAAGGTTTGCTTATTAATAATACAGTAATAGACTTTAGATTTGCTTATTAATAATATAAGAGACTTTAGATTCAGCAATGCCTGTGTTAAGTGAATTAACTAGGTCGCTGTTGTTTTCCAGAGATGTGAGAAGCTGAGAAGTTTCCCCAGCACACTGTGAAATGGGATCTTTATACCACTATTTCATATTTTATTTTAAACACCTGCGCAATAATAAATGCTTGCAGAGCTTGTCATAGGATCATAAAACCTTATCAAACTGTCTGAACATCATATCATATCCCTTTAGTTTATGGTGGTGGAGGGAGGTTAAGTTGAATAGTTGGACTTCCATGTGGCTTAGAATGACTTCATTTCCTGGAAATAAGATTCTAGCGTCCCTTTTATCTCTGTGCTTCTTCAGGCTGGTCTAAAAATATCGTCCCAACCGTTTGGATTGTGCCATTTGGAAAGAATGTTGGAAGCAGATTTCAGAGTACTGACCTGCCAGTCAGTAGCCAGGTGACCCTGAGTGGTGGGTGTAAAGCTGGAGGCAGGGGGGTCCTGCCAGCCTCACAGGGCGGTGATGGGCAGCTGTTAAGAGCCTGCTCGTTTCAGTCACTCAGTTGTGTTGCCATCCAGTCTGTGTCCGTTTCCATCGCACTGTGTGAAGGTTGGAGCTGTCTCGGGGGTTTCTGTTGTGATCCGGTCCATTTAGTAGAAGCAGGAGTGGCATCCACTTCCTAAACAACATGCCTCCGGAAACTCTATGAACTCTGATAAGTGTCGATAGTTGTAGAGGGGCTTCAGGCCTTTTTTTTCATAGGGTCGCTATGAGTCGTGTTCGACTTGCAGGCAATCAACAACAACAACAACCTGCCTTTTCCCTGGAGAAGGTGCAACCAGGATGCTCCTTAGAGGCAAGGCTGCTGCAATTCCCTTTCATATATTTTGGGCATCTTATCGGGAGCCACTTGGAAAAGACATCATTCTGGGAAAGAGAGGGCCAACAAAATCGAGGAAACCCTCCACGAGACAGACAGCACAGTGTCTAAAACAGTCAGAGACTGTGAGGGTGGCATCGGGTAGGACAGGGTTCGGGTCTGTTGCTCATGGGGTTGAGGTGAGTCGTGGTGCACTCGGGGGAACCTAGCAACAACTGGTCTTCGTCCTGTGGAGCAGGTGGTTCGTGTCAAACCACCGACCTTCCCCCCTTTGATCTAACAGCTGGATGCCTAACCGTTGCACCACCAAAGCTTCCAAAGTCCCTCAGTAGAGAATTTTTTAAAAAGGCCAGGCAGTTGCCCTCATGCTGCTTCCGTCTTACTGATGGGACTCCGTGAGTGTCAGCACAAAACTGTGCTGCTGAGAGCTTTCGATGGCTGGTGTGTTTGGAGACAGACTCCTGGGCTTTCTTCCCGGAAGGCCCTCCATGCCTTTAGCTGCTGGCACCTTCAGACTCCTTCCTGGTGCCCTCCCTGCTCCTAGCTGCTGGCACCGCCAGACTCCTGGTGGACGTTAGGTGCTCAGTGAAGAAGCTGGGCTTGGAGGACGTGATGGGACTGAGTCCATGTTCACAGTGCTACTGTTTCCCTGCCATCAACCATCTTGAGTTCCTCTTTGTGAGACCTGCCCTATCTGGGGATGGTCTGTACTGCCACTTACGTATGATTTGAAATAGTTGAGGAGAGGGGGAGGTTTGGTTAGGTTTTTTTTAAGTATGTGAAATAATTTTGCAAGAAGACTTCGTATCCCTCCCACAAAGGAAAAATTAGAATCACCTGTCACAAACGAGGAAAATACACATCATTAAAACATGACAATCTAATTAATTTCTAGTTAGCTATTATTGCCTGATAAAGGCTTGGAGCCCCGGGCTGGCCTTGCCTTTAACAGGCAAGATTAGTAAGTGATGGAATTGTGTTCAAGGCAGGCTGAGGGGGAGCCTGGCCTTCCTGCTGTGAGATTTATTATATCATGTCAGAGCTGAACCCTCCAGACCCTCCCCTCTCCTCACCAGGGGCGCAGTCACAGTCCCTGAAAGCCTCACTAATGCTGTAGACTTGGAGACTGGGGGCTCTTCCTCTTACACACTAAGCCAAGAACCCAGAACCAAGCCAGGCTGTCGAGTTGGTTACGACTCACAGTGAGCCCGTGGTCACAGCGCCGAGCACAGGGTTTTCTTGGCTGTCAGGCTAACAGAGACGGGTCTCCCACAGCCCTGCTCGGGCCTTTCAGACTGCCAGCCTTTGTTGGTACTTGTTGAATGCAAACCGTTTGCACAACCTCGAGACTTTATGGAGTTCTTGCAGCGCCTTCGGTTGTTGTGTGCCGCCAGGTCACAACCAACCGATAGATGACCCTCTGAGGGGGTTCTCAGAGGCAGTAAATTGAACAAGAAGAGATTGCTTGTCTTTTTCCTGGGGAGCAGCGGGTGGGCGTCAAACTGTGGGCCACAGCTCCCTGGAAGAGCCAGTAGCATGTTGCGTTGATAACCGGAAGGCTGCAGTTCTCAGACAGCTCAGCTCTGCTCTCGGCTCTGTATAACAAAGAGGTACAGTTGCCTCTCAGCACAGTTCACCCCACAGAAATCCCACAGAAGGACAATAAGAGTTAGAATCAACTTAGACGTGCCAGCTTGGTTTTTCAGTTTTAAACTCAAAGCCCCATTGTTATTGAAGCAGAAGTGATTGATAGCTGATCCTTCAGCCAGCCTGCTGAGGTTGTGAACCACCTGGAGGAAAATGCCTCTGTCTCCTTCAGAGCCGTGGTGGATTCGAACCCCTGAGGGGTTGCCTCTGGTGGGTTGACAGCACACCTCCCTGCAGTCTGCACTACCAGCTTCAAATGCGCACGCCACATTTTAATCTTCCTCGTTTCCGCTCAGCTGCAATCCTGTCTCACCTGAAATGTTTTCCAACAGGTAAACGGCAAGGACTTGTCCAGAGCAACCCATGACCAAGCCGTGGAAGCTTTCAAAACCGCCAAGGAGCCCATCGTGGTCCAGGTGTTGAGGAGGACACCCAGGACCAAAATGTTCACGCCGCCCTCACAGCTGCAGCTGGTGGACACGGGCACGCAGACCGACATCACCTTTGAGCACATCATGGCCCTCTCCAAACTGTCCTCACCCACCCCACCCGGGCTGGACCCCTACCTCCTGCCCGAAGAGTAAGTGATTCCCTCGCCAGCCACAGCCTTTCACACCCCCTTTCATGTGGTGGGAAACAGATGAAGGCCTCTTACCATTTTTCCTCTGAGTTGCCGTGTTTAACTTTACAGTTTATAGAGGCAATAAATTGAATCCTGCTCAAAACCACTCTGACATATTAATTACTTTATTATAACCCTGGAGCGGAGTTATTCAAATTATACTCCGAGAGCAAAATTACTTACAAATGTTGTAAAAGTTGTTTCTGAATAAGATTTAATCACCGCAGATGGTAATTTGGAGATTTTGTAGTTCTACCCAGAGAAGATGCCAACTGTTCTTTCTCATAGGCAGTTGTGGAAGTTGTGAGGGCGGCGGGGCCCCAGAGGCTGTGTGTTTAGCTTTCCCGGGTCTCCTTGTAAACGTGGATTCCTGGCCTAGGCCCACTAAGGCCACACAGCAGTACGCCCCTCAGACTCAGTTACACAGCAGCTGGGATTCCACACAGCACGTTACTCTCTCTCCACTCCTTCTTCGTGACAGAGACGTAGAGTCAGGCTTGGAGTCCCAGAAATGAACTTCTAGCCAAGGAACTTGAGGAATTCATTTCATCTTCCTGAGCTGCGCTTTTACTGGATCAGTGTGAGGATACTATTTCCTGCACCTTCATCTCACATACTTTGGGCATGTGGTCAAGAGGGGGCCAGTCTATAGAAAAAGACATCATGCTGGGAAACGTGGGACATTAGAGCAAGAGCTGCCTCTGAAAGGAGACACAGTGGGTCCCAGCGCATCAGAGATGGTGAGAAGGTGCCCGACAGGGCAGGGTTCAGATCTGTGGAGACACACTGGGTCCCAGCGCATCAGAGACGGTGAGAAGGTGCCCGACAGGGCAGGGTTCAGATCTGGGGTTAGCTGGGCCACTGTCACGGTCATAGTCATAATCCTTCACAGCAATAACATCTGAAAGTTGTTACGAGAATGAAGACTTAATGGATGAGAAGTCCTGAGTGTAGCATATGGTACGTGCTGAGTAAACTGCAGCATGGTCATGTTTAATTAGTAAGTGATGCTTTTCCGTCAAGCGGGAACTGACCCACAGACAACCCTCCAGTGGGTTTTCAGAAGCAGTAAATTGCACGAGAAGAGACACTGCCCATCTTTCTCCCATGGAGTAGCTGGTGGATTTGAACTGCACACCTTTGCATTGGGAGCACAAGTCCTTACCACTAAGCCATCAGAGCTCCCTATATTAAGTGACAGAAGTAAAATATTTCAGAAATTATAAGAGTAAGAAAACTTTCTGAGATAGACCACTGGCTTAAAGGATGCACCGTTTTGGTTTGATTTTTGTTATTTGAGTCAATATTTTACAAAGAGTAGTGGTTTTCCATGTGACCATTTGTGAATATTTTGTTTTAAAATACTAATTACAGCACCCACAATGCATTTGCACTTTCCCCCACTTCCTGCATTTCTTGTGTCCTTCATCCTTGTAGACTGACCCTTCTTGCCTTTGGGGCTTTATCCGTGAACCGATGCTGCTCGTGACCTTGGGGGCCGGTTATTCTGAGGAGTGTGTGTCTCTCTTGTGCTGCACTTCACCTTCCAGTCGTGTCTATTGGTGAGCTGAGCATTGAGTCCAAGCTTAATGTCCCTTTTCTCACATGGCTCTGCAGCTCTGAGGACAAGATGTCTGTGTCCCCGTCTCCAGGGTTGAGGTTAAGATCTCTTTCTCACCACAGAATCAATCCTGGTTCACGGAATTGATTTGAGGCATTATTGCCAAGGGCACTGTCACCTCTCTCAGGGAGCACCTCCCTCCCAGTGGCACCTGCCGGCTTCCTGTTAGTAACTTAATACCTGGAGTGAGGTCATGTGTCCCGTGGTGGGGGCTCTGTCCAGTTCCGGAGAAGGGCTTGCTTTCAGCCCCCCAGTTTTCGTGGTTTGCTGTCATCAGAAACCAGGGCCAATTCCCTGGGCTTGAAAAGTCGATTCTGCTGCAGCGGACAGTGCACAGATGGTGAGGACAGGCGCCTGCCGGCTGCCATCGGTGTTACTTCTCACTGCTGCCGCTTTGACATGGATGAGGTTCGTTCCCTGTGCTCAGTGCAGGTTGGCAGCATCTGCATTTAGAGGCAGGTGTGTCTGGCCTTGGGGAGCTCTGATGGCCTTGTGGTGAGGAGCTGCGCTGCCAACTCAAAGGCATGAAGTTCGAATCCACTAGCTGTACTGCAAGAGGAAGACGGGCTTCTCCTCCTGTGTGATTTACTTCCTCTGAACACCAGGTGGAGGGTTGTTCTCCCCCACCCAACACTGCAAAGCAGCAACCGTGTGGCCTCAGGAGGCCTCGTGGTACTTGGGTTCCAGCCTGGAGGTTCACTGTCCAGCCTGCCCATCAGAAGACAGGTCTGGTCATCTGCCTGTTACCATCAGGGAAAGCCCAAGGGGCATTTCTGCTCTGTCGCATGAGGTCATGAGTAGTCAAAACTGAGTGGCCCCCAACTCCATCCGACTTCAAGGCCCAGACCTTCAGCATTGTCCTTGGGCATCCGCAAGTGGACAAGGCCCTAAGTGCACTCAAACCTATTATTATTTCCTGTTATGGACCCAGATTGCCCCTCGGATGATCAGCTGTCACTGAAATGGGCTGTTTAGATGCTAGCTCTCCCCTTTCCCTCAGGCTGACGTGACAGTGCTTCTCTCCAAACAGGACTGAGAAATGCCAGCAGCGTCTGGAGGGCAGCGCCCTGGTCACTGAGGGTCAGTGCCCATCACAATCGTCAGGAGAGTGTGGGTTTGAGAGTCTGGCCTTGTGACAGTGTCCTGGCACGAAAGCCCTCAGCTCAGGCAACGTGGTGGCCTGCCGGGCCCAGAACAGTAAAAGCTGGCCTTTGTTTCAGTCACCACTTGAGTCTGATCTGTTTCAATTTAAGTGGTGGGGCGGAGGGAGGGGAAGCCAGAGCCCGCTGGCCGCTGCCTTGACTTCTGAGGGCGCAGATGTGTGGACCCTGTCAGTGGAAACCAGAGGGCACAGAGGTGTAGACCCTGACAATGGAGACCAGAGTTTTCCATCCACCTCTGGTCTCAGGGACGCCAAGTGTCAGCTCAGTCCGAAGGGAGCATGTTACGGTGCCCGCTCCACTCCTGGTGCTTCGTTCAGTGGAGAAGGATTGACAGTACCCTCCCGTGTGATTTACTGCCTCTGAAAACTCTCTGGAGGATCAGTCTCGGTTTGGTTCCAATGCAACAACACACGGCTTACATACAATGCATATATAGATGTAGGAATAAAATAAAATAAGTATGCATAGTGTTGTCATGTCAAGTCCAGTTCTTATTGTGGGTTGAGTCAAGAAACTGAGAAACACTGTCCCGGATGATGGCATGACAGCTCCTGGCACAGCGCCAAGCACTGGAAACAGAGACCAGCCTGGGAAGACTGCCAGTCCTCCAGCCTGTTTCTGCACAGAGATAGAATGTAGCAGAGGAATAGTAGGGCTTACATGGACCCATTTCTACATAGTGATGGGTCAGACACTGTATCACATGACTCATAGACTAATGGCTGGGTCACAGCAAAGCTGGCCCCTCTCCCCTCGCATTGATGCAAAGGGTTCTTCTGAACCCAGCTGACTTGGACCCAAATGGTGAATTTGTGATGGTGGAGCCAGGTCCAGGAGAAGGGGACAGTGCAGGCGTCCACAGAACCCTCAGGACGTGGCCTGAGGGGTGTGCCTGGGCCCAGAGCTGGGAGCAAGGAGGACAGGGTCTCAGAACTGAAGCAGGGGACTTACCGAGCTTTCCTCTTTTTTCCAGGCATCCCTCAGTCCACGAATACTACGATCACAATGACTACATGGGCGGCATCCATCCGGAGATGGACAGGGAGGAGCTGGAGCTGGAGGTATGTGGTCGCCGGGCCTCGTGTGAGGGCCACAGGCGACGTGTGCTTGGTGTGTGGATGCTGACGGCAAGAGCTTGGCATGGGAGAGCGCAGAGGTATCATCCCTGCCGTCCTTGCAAGAGGAGCGCATTAGGTCCAAAGGGCAGAAGTTTAGGTGAATTTAATATTTGTTTAGTTGGTTTGATTCACTTCAGATGAGACAGGAAATCCTATCCTCTGGTGGATTCCACACTGTCTATCTCCTCAGACCAAAGTCTCCAGTCCATACCTTCTTAAAGCTAATGCTGTCCTCACAGACCATACCCCCTGACAACTAATGCCACCCACACAGTCCATACCCCATTACAACTAATGCCACCTGCACAGTCTATACCCTCCTTACAGCTCATGGCATTCTTCTCGCTTTAATACCCACTCAGTCATCATAAATTGAATGATCAACCCACCACAACAGAAGTCCTGGGTACATTGTGAAGGGCTCAGCTCCAAAAAAGATCACAGTTCAAACTCGCCCGCCTGCTCTGTGAAAGAGGACAGCCTAGACTACTCTCCAGGGTAATTCTGTGTCATCGGGGTCACTATGGGTCAGAATCAGCATGTCAGGGCCTAACAACAGCAACCAGCAAAAAGGTTCACCCACGAATTCTCTGCTTGCAGATTACAGTAAGGTGACGCAAAGAAATACCTAATTCGGTGATAGTTCAGACCAAATACAACAGTGTTTTCTCGTATCCTGGAGGAGCAGCCAGGGTGCTCCGTAAAAGCAAGGATGGTGAAACTGCCTCACGCACTGTGTGTATGTTGTCAGAAGGGGCCAGTCCAACATGCAGGGGAGGAGAGAGGGTCAGGGAAAGAGGAGATTCTGCACAAGCTGGACTGACACAGTGACTGTGACCATGACAGTGACCCCATAATGAGTCATAATCAACTTGACACCAGCTAATAACAACATATTACACCTAAGATTTCAAATTTTCAGCAATACAGGATCACAGTTTTATTTCTCTTTATAAGAATAATTTAAAAAAAAAAAAGTAGAGAACACCCACTTCCAAGCCTTTGGGGTTTTTGTATTTATACTTTCAGGTAAATAAAAAGTCATAGTTCATTGGTTTTCAGAAATGCAGGCCCCTTCTTGAAATCTGCTTTTCTGAAACAGGGCACCTTTCCAAGGCTCTGGAACCTGCTGCCGAAGCCTGGACCTTGACAGGGTTGGGGTTAGCCAGGGGGAGTCCCATAGCCTGGCAGACCTGGGCTGCACCCAGACACTTGTGAACCTCATGAATTTTTCAGGGGCAGGGGGTTTCTGTGTAGCTCAGAGTAGACAACAGCTGTGTTCTTCAAGGCTCCTTTAAAGTTTCTCAGAGTTCTTATTCCCAAACAGAAGATTGAGATCAAGGAAAGTGTGCAAATGCCCAACTTTGCTGGCTTCCTGCCTCCAGCCGGATGTGGTCAGATCAAAGTGTTAGGCCCTCAAGGCATGGCTGGCTCAGTGGAGATTTCTCTTGCAAATTTACATTTCATATGGTCTAAACAGCTAGACTGGGATGGCAGTTCTTCTAACTATAGAAATCACAGACTATTTCTTCTCACTCAGCTACAGCCCAGGGCACTCACACCCCGCAGTTGCTCAGGGAAGTATTTTCTTCAAGAGAGCACGGGTTGTGTCTGTTACGGCATTCTGTCCTCCCAGCCTCAGGCCCAGGCAGCTCTGGGGGTGGAATGTGTTACATCTTGGGAGGACTGTTAATGGAAGGGTTATTGGTTCAAATCCACTAGCCACTGCAAGAGATGGGTGTTCTCATCCGTCATAAAGATTTAGAGTTCAGACACCAAACGGAGATTGTCCAGGAGTCAGAATTAACCCGGAGTCAATAGGCTTGACTTGGTGTTTATCTTGACAGCTTTAGGCCTAGTTTGGGGGCAAGAACAAAAACTTCTCAATCAAAACCTTACCTCTCCATAAACGCAGACTCACAGTGACCCCACAGGACAGAGGAGAGCTGCCCCAGGGGCTTCCACACCTGTAAGCCTTTACGGAACGAAACTGACCACCATGTCTCTTTCCCATGAAGCAGCTGGTGGATTTGAACCACTGACTTTTTGGTTGGCACATTAATTCCTTTAGCCACTGCATCACCAGAGTTCCTTGGGAAGGGATATAATACACAGGATTTCCCAAACCTACGTCAATGCTCTTGGCCCAAGTACCTAGTATCATTTCCTCTGGAACACTATTAGGCTTTCTTTTGCTGGTGAAATGTTCCCTTACCAAATAATTGATAAATAGTAACATTAGCTCTGGATGATGTTCACTGAGGCGAATTCGGGGTCTTCTAAAACTCACACATTCACAAAGTGGTGTGTACTCTGTGGTCCGTAGTGTGTAGTTAAGCTCAACTTTACAGGAGTGGGGGTTTTTCCGTTCTGTTTTTGGTTCCCGGCACCACTGAAAATCTGTGGGAAGCTCTGTCCGCTCCCTGGAAGGCTGCCTGCGTGTGGGAGCGCGCACACGGCCTCAGGAAGCCCACTACCCTCCCGCTACATCTGCTGCGTTTCCATCCTGCTCTCAGGAGCGAAACACCCACCAGAACTATTCTTTGCTATTTCCCTTCAACATGACTTGCTGCAACGGAATTTGCTTGGAAGGAAACATTACCACCGCCATGAACAGAACAGGATCTGTGGCAAATATAGAAACCAGGTGCCCCCAGGTCTGTTCCCGGGTGTGACGGTGCTGCGTGGGTCAGAGTCAAACAGCACTCCATGGTGCTCAGTGACGGATGCTTCAGAAGTGACTCCGCCTTCCCAGGAGCCTCGGACTAGACGTGGGCGCCCAACCTTTCCCTTTGCACCATTCAGGAAATCCCGTTATAAAAGGGCCCCATAGATTTAAAGCCATAGTATTTTCAATTGCCTCGTGTTCATGTGGACAGAAGGAAAAGTAATGCCTTTGAGCTGTGCTGTCGGAGAAGAGCACTAACCAGCCCACGGACTGTCTGAAGAACAAGCAGGTGTATCTTGGGAGAGTTGCAGCCAGGGTGCTCCGTACAGGCAAGGACGCTGAAGCCTTATCTCATGCACTTTGGGGGGCATGTTGTCAGTGGGGGCCAGTCCTTATGAAAAGATGTCATGCTGGGAAAGTTTGAGGGCAGAGAAAGAGAGGAAGGGCCTCCATGAGATGGACTGACCCAGTGCTGCAGCAGGGGGCGTGTGCCCAGAGGAAGTTCTGAAGATGGCTTGGCATCAGGCAGGGGTTTCATCGCTTCTGCACGGGGCACTGGGCTTAGTGTTGACTCAGCAGCAAGCATGGTACAGTTAACCACAGCGGACCCAAAGTTACTAAATTCTCCATGCTGGTGCCTGCTGGGCGGCTAAGGGCTCCTTCCAGAGCCTCCTAAACTTTGCCTAATATTAACTAATTGTTCAGACTAGCCCCAGTGGAGTCTCTTTCTCCTCCAGGCAATCACACAGTGGTATTTCTGGGACTGCCATAGTTCTGGGGGGCAGCCGCTCTATGAAAGTTCCCTAGAACCTGGTAGGCCAGGTGTGGTGTTAGGATGAGCGGTGTCCCCGGGAGCGCCCAGTCCCGCAAGAGAAAGCTGAATACGCAAACGTCAGATGAGCTGTCATCTGGAGGCCGTGGTCCAGGCTCCAGTTCTCCGGTACCACGGTCTTCCCACAGAGGCTCTCACTGGGGGTCCACTCCCCGCAGTGCAAGGATATGCCCCCTCTTACCAGCACCATCCACACAGAGTAAACTTACCACAGGACGGACAGGTCTGTGGACCTATGCCTTAGTGTTGGACTCCAGCCCAGCATCGATCATGACAGCAGTGCTGAAGTGGACACTGTCCGTCCTGACATGCAAGGGTCTCCATGCATGAAAGCTGTCTCAATGACTGATGCCAGCAGGTGGGGCACCCACCATGACTGCCTCCCACCTGTGTGTAGTCTCCAGGTGTTCAGAATACCAGGGGGATATCAGAAGTGAGGCTGCAGGACTCCACCCACGCTTATATTCATTTCTGTGTGTCAGTTCTACTGTTCATCTCTTAAAATAGATACACTGCGGGTGGGAAGAATCAGGAAGTCACCATCTTGCCCTTAAGAAGCTTAAGTCTGGCGAGCTATGGTGGCCTAGTGGCAAGAAGCTGCACTGTAATTCCTGAGGTGTGCAGTTCAAATCCACCAGATGCTCTGCTGGAAAAGGAGGAACAATCTCCTCCTGTACCAGTCAGATCTGATTTGATGGTACACACACACAAATAATAATTAAAAAAAGAAGATGCTTAAGTCTGTGAGAGGCCCAAAGCCCTGGAGCCACTGACCGACTTTCCATCTCAGAAATCCCAATTATGGTCATCGTCCACCTCCAGCTCCTTTGAACAACAACCATATAGTCCTCGAGTCCACAGCAGAGAGGAAGACTTTAAACATTTGCTCTTTTGCCCCTGGTAACTTAGATGCTTATCCCTGGGTGGTCCCACCAGATAGTGAGCTTGGCTGTGAACCAGAAGGTCAGAGGTTTGAGTCTCCCCAGAGACACCGTGGAGGAAAGGCTTGATGACTGACTTCGAGAAACCAGGCATTGGAAACCCTGTGGAACAGGGTTCTGCTCCGACCCACAGTGTCACCAAGCACCAGGCTGTGCTGGGACTGGGGGGAGGGGGCGGGGTGTAACTCTGCTGGTGTAGTGGACAGCAGGCTGCAGGGGGAGCTGGAAGGTCAGTGCTTCAAGGGAAGAAGATGGACATCTCTTCCAAGAAGGCGTACAGCCTCGGGAACCAATGGGCTGGCTTGTCAGGTGTGGAGTTCGGGTTTCTGTTTAAGGATGAAGGGCCCTCCTGATTCCTGAGGGACACCAAGAAGGCATCTGGTAGAGTCATTTCTGAGGGGCACCAAGAGGGCATCTGGTAGAGTCATCGGAGTTTCCCAGCGGTGCCCCACAGCGAGGGAATCACCCTGGAGAAGGGCAGCTGCCTCTCATGTTGCTTCTG